TACATATCGCTTTATTTAATTATTAATAAAAAATTCCTTTCTTCGTATTATTTTTATTTTATTTCGTAAATTACAAGAAAGAAGATGATCATAAGTGAGACATAATATGTAAGACAAAACGAATAACATTATTTATATCTTTTATAATTTATATTATAATCTTTTTTTAATTATATATTTTATTAATTATATAAATTATTATATAAATTATTATATAATAATATTTAAAAACGACACAACTTTAAGTGAGATAATTTGAAAATAAGAATAAAAAACTTGATGATGAATTTTAATAATCGTCTAACCATTATTTTCTCAGGCTTGGCAAGAAAAGAATTAAAAAATCTAATTTATAATTCATATAGAATATAATAAAAAAAAAACATCGATCTTATATATCTATAAAACAAATTACTCATATGTAACGACCAATTACGATTGCCCATTACGTTCCTCTATTTATTATATAATGTTTATCGCTCTCCAGAGCACAATCCGTACCATGAACATTATAAATGCAAATGAATTGTTCCCATTGTTCCCCAAACATGCATATAATATCGCATATATAATTACAATAAAATCAAATTTTATTATAATCATCGAGAAAGATAATTTTTTTAGATTTATTCGCGAATGAAATACGCAAATATTTTAATATTTCTCAATAATCTACGTCAAAATGTACATAGTAAAATGTATATACCAAAATAGGCGTATAAACTGAAAGAAGATGATTCTTTATTCAAAAATAAGTCGAAAATGTAGAATGACAATTTTCGATATAAAGCTTCCTTTTCAACTAAATTAATTATTGAAATTCTATGCGCGTGCACTTGAGAGAGAAACAGTTAAGCATGTTTCTTCGCGCTGTATTCATAATTTTAAACAATGCCATCACTCATATTACAATGTACAATCTCTTACTATTCCTATAATTACGTCTAATTATCTTTCGAGTTATTACCACAAATACAAAGAGATACGTTCTGCCAAAACTTCTCAAGTGCTCTCGTATAAAATTTCACAATGAATTTTCTCAAAAATGAGATCTCGTATCAAAAATTCTCATTCATTTTCGATTTATTTTTGCACAAAGTATCGGCGTCCTCTGAATACATATCATAATTTTCAATACCATATACAATAATTTTTATGTCATTCTTCAATACGTTTATTATTATGAAATAAAAATTCGAAAAGAAAATAAATTGCATTAAATAATTAGCAACAAACAAATTGTAATCAAATGCATATTAATTTACGTTATAATTTATATCTATCCTCTTATGAGTTATATATAAATGGAACGCCATCATAGCATTGCGGTATCGATTGGCATTCACCACTGAGATACAATCGCGTGCTTGGTAATAATTTAGCATTCTTTAAATACAAAACTTCTCCAAAGTATTTCACAATCGTGATTTAACGAGAAATCAACTACGCGAAACGCGCACCGGGGAACGAATGAACTTTGGATTAGCCTTGAACCACGATTACCCTTGTATAGCCAGCTCCACTTCGATCGCGGTTTGCACATCTTTTGTTTTTGTAAAACGTGTTCAAAGCGAGTCCAGAGATCTTTTTCTATTACCATTTATCGTAATATTTTAAAATGTATATGTTAGGTATATGCTTTACTAAAAATGATTAAATTATCCCATTTAATAATATAATACGAATTTTATTGAGATCAAACAAAAAATAACTTTGATTTTTATTTATTTAAAATATATTTATGAATATTAGCCGAGATATATAATATTAGAAAATATTTTTGCATTCTTTAAACTCGAGTTTGAGATAAATAAAAATTTAGATGAGAAAAATAATTTTGGATATATCGGATCATTTTATCTTTACATTCTTTAAAAGTTGAATACTTGAATTAAATAAAAATAACAAAAAACAAGTAAAAAATATATTAAATAAGATACATAATATTGGAAAATACTTTGAAATTTCTGAAAAAATTAATTTACAATATATTAAGCTACTTCATCTTTGTATCTTATGTATATTAGAAATATATTTGAATTAAATAAATCTCAAAGATAGACATATCAATATTTCTTAAGAGAATAAATACGAAAAAACTCTTGAAGAAAAATATATTTTCTATTATTGTAAATTAACAGTATCTTTGAAAAAAAATTCCTTTTCATTCCTTATAACCATATCTCATGCAAAAGATGTAAAGGAGCATATTTTCTTTGATTTTTCATTTTTTTTTTTTTTTTTTTTCCGACCAGTATTTTTCTTTTTCTTAATAAATTTTTTTTTTTTTTTTTCCGACCAGTATTTTTCTTTTTCTTAATAAATTTTTTTTTTTTTTTTTTTTTCAGTACAGTATTATTCTTATTCATTTTACTGAACCATCTCGTTCTTTTTATCATATTTCATCTCTCGATTTACGTCAATTATACATATTTCTCACCCGTGACATTAGAATCCTTATTATCCGCATAGATAATGTGGCTTTTACCGAAGGTGTTAGAACGACACAACCACAATTGTGGTCGCCATGTCGCCAAACGTTCCATGGCAGTATGTCAGGTCGACATGCTAAACCACGAAATTCACTTTACAAGCCACGATGCTCGTACTTGAGGGCCTAACGCTGCTAATGATGAACACCTTGAACTTCTGAATTTTTTAATTTCTAAATAAATATTTAATTTTCTCATAATTGGGAGAAATATTCAAAAAAAAACATGAGAATGAAAAAAAATTTAAGTAAAGTAATGAAAATTAAATGCCATAGCAATTTTGAATAATAAATGTATGCACGAATGTATATTCTTGTTCATAAATATAATTTATTAAAAATGAGATAAACTCAAAATCTCTGAAACACTATTTCTTAATCATCTTTTGAGTTATGATTCTCTTTTTCAAAATAAGAAAAATTTGAAAATAACATAGTTTTATTGCAATAGAACGAATAGCAGGTTTTTGTAAGAGCAGTGTTTTAAGTAACAAAAAGATCGTCTTGATACTCTTATAAAGTATAATAATGAAATTATATTGAAATAAATAAATGATAAAAATCATTAAAATTAATTTTCACAAGTGATCTATAAAATGATCATTGTTCTATAAATCGTTATCATGTAAAATTAATCCTGTAAATATATATTTTGGAACATAATAATTATTATTTTTAATAATCTGCATAAATCATCATATCTTATTCTGTTGAAAATTGTGAGTGATTTTAATTTTTTGATACTAATGAGACTTAATAATTTCATAATTTTGTATAATATATATTTCGAATATTATAAAAATAATAAAGATAAATTTTAAAAATTATAATAATTAAATTAAAATCATTATTCAAAAAATATAATTTAGTTTTAATTCTAGAATGAGTAAAATAACTTGATCATAAAAAACTTTTATTATTACACTCATTTTTGATAAAATCATATCTTCATAACGACTTATTTATAAACAATTTATTTATAATAATAAAATACAATAATAACAAAAAGAATCTTATAGATATATAATTCTCTAATTATTGTTAAGAATCGATCTTTCATTTTTATTGTAGTATAAAATATGTTCCATAAAATGAAATAGAAAGTGCATAATTTCATATTATATAATTTTCTTTGCAAGTACTATAAAAGTATTTGCAAAAAAAAAATCATATAAAAATCAATTTTATTTCTTTCGAATAATTTTCAACGTATCGATATAGAACAATATAAATTTTTTCAAAAAAATTATCCAAGTCGAAGTATCTCCCAAAGTTTTTCCTTGAAAATAGGTTGATATTCTTCCAAAAAAAACAACGTACTGCATCGATAAATGCATTAAAAATTACACAAACCCATTCAAAAAAAAAAAAAAAGCAAAATTGATACTCATATACAATCTCTATACGTCCAGCCAACTAAAAATTTTTAAAATTATCAAATTATTATAAAATTATACGTATTGAATATCACTTGATTCTCATCCAAAGCATTCCTCAATATCATCGAAAAACAGATATTTCAAGTCGTAACATTATTTTATTCAATTTCTTCTCTCGTGTTTCACAAAAACAAACAAAATAAAGAGCACGAAAGGGAGAGACGAAATTGAACTAAAGTTAAAAGTTCATCGCCCGGCAACGAGATCCACCGTATACCCGTTTGTCCTTACAAGCTAATACACGAAAGGAAATTCTTTTGAACGAAACTGCATCCCTACCTGTTCTGTTGTTCGTCGACAGTGACAGACGGGAGGGTTGTTAGACGTTGGCGGAGGCAACGGGGTTGCTCGCCCCGTCGCGATGCTCACCGGCCCTCGAATCGCTCGAGAGCGGCCAGACCCTCTTTCGCGTCCTTTGATCTGCCAGCAACCCCCAAAACGAGCACTACACCATGCTCCTCGGTCCTGTTCAATTCTCCCCCTTCCTCCTCCTTCGGCCTACGCATGCCAAGAATTCTGAAAGCATTAGACGAAGGAACACGTGAGAAACGTGAAAGCGATGAATTTCTTTTCGAATAAGACGAATTTTTCTTGGGGAGAGAAATTTGAGAGATAGAAACGATGTTTCCTTCGAATACGTTACAAGCTTTTACGAAAATTTCGAATCAATTTTTCAATCGCTTACATCGAATTTTCCCCCATACAGTATTTTGTTTCTTGTTAGAAATAAAAGGATTATAATTATGAGAACAGAATCTCGATTGAAAAATTGAATAAATTGTAAACGTATCTATCAAATATAATTAATTTAATGATAATAAGATTTTTTTATCTTTTTCATTTTGAATTTAATTAAAATATAGAAATTGATCAATAAAATTACATAAATAAAATTTTTACAAAGTAACTTTTTGAAATTAAAAAGTTCTAATTTAATTTTGAAATTTCAAAAAATTTTCAAGATCAAATTCTTGAATTTTTAAAACATATGAATTGAAATTCTGTTCTTTGAGATTAATTAAAATTAAAACAATTGGAAAATTAAATTATTTGAATTGAAATTTTTCTTAATCTTTTAAATATTTAAAAAATAAAATAAAAATATTCTATTTTTTTTTTTATGGTGATTCGGATTTCATTGAAACAATAAAAAATAAAATTCTTTTAATATATAAGGATAATAAATATTATCTTATTATTGGCCAAAATTTCATGTTAACATTAAAATTAAATCTATTAATTCGAATTAAAAATGTATAGTTTAAATGTTAAATTGTAAGAATTATTCATGCAAAAAAATCTAGATCTTAAATCTAAATCATTCGATTTATCTCCAATCTATCGACTTTTAAATTCAATTATTACAAATGATAATTGCACATAATGATCTATTACAATTAAAATTGTAATTATTTTAATGCTAATCAATTTGCAATTATAATTAATAACAATAAAGATAGATATCATTATTTAAATTAACGAGTTCTAATAATTAGTTCATCCTCGAATTAAACGATCATAGATAATGAGATGAGACAATGTTCTAAATAATCTACTATTTACATAAATCGTTGACGAAAAATTAAAAATATCTCGAATCTTGCACATTTAATATCCTCAAATTATTAAATTTCACACTTTTCAAAAAACAATCAAAATCATATATTACGAAAACAATATTTTGAAATATTTCAATAATTCATTTTAGAATTTTAGAAGCTCTCGAATATCGAGCAATAATGACATCAGTTATTTCAAACAAACACGATCACGACGAAATTCTGCTATATTTTCAACCGAATTCCTATTCTCTCAGCACAATAAAGAAATTTAATCATCGCCAGACAGTTGAATAATAGACGCCAAATAAATTAAATGCATCACAAGCTTGAACGTTTCTCTTTCACAACACCTTCATTATTCCATTCATCTTCGGCACGTATATATACACGGGCAAGGAAACTCGTCACATAATAACAATTATTAACCCTTCCTTTGTGCACCATTTCATCATCCCGTTAATGTCCTTCTCGTTAATATCCACGGATTCCACGTGGTTCTACCATGCGAAACATCGGTACAGGGCTGTAATAACTGTCAGGTGCGGGGACGTAATTACCAGCAGCCTGTGAAAGCAACACCAGTTTCGAGAGGAAGATTTGTTTTGTTCCGGGAATCGTGACGCTTGAAAGCGTGTGTTGAAACGGAATCTTGAAACACGCTCCCAGAATTTCAAATACGCTTAATTTCACGGCTTTTTAATTCATTTTATTCAATCTTCGTTGATCGATAAAATAAAATGAAAATATCGAATAATATTTTCTTCATTGATCAAATCAAAGGATGCGAATTGTGAATTGAAAATTCTATTAATCGTTTGACAAATTTTATTTGAACTAATTAAAAATTACTTCGGAATTGAAATAATTTATTTCAAATACTTACAACTTCTTTGTTTCGAATTTAATAAAGGATCCATTTAATTTATGACTCGTTTAAGAAATAATACTATTTGAAATCTGTCTTTCAACAAAATTTAAATAATTACGAAATAAAAATAATGTGTTACGATGTATAATTCCAAAAGCGTTCAGGTTTAAGAATAATTACGCTATAATTATTCGAATACTCCAAGGAATATTCAAAAAATATTTCTACTTCAATACAATGTAACACAAATCCCTATTATTAAAATAATAATATTATTACCTCTAACATTATTATGGATCAAAGTCACTTTGCACGAAGAGTACCTTTCGATGTAGCTGAAATGCTAATGTATACACCCTTCTTTACACCTAACGCAATATAACCCGGCCCCCCAGAAGAAGCTGAATGTTTAATCGATTTTATCACAGGTACAAGCAATTTCATTAGCCGAGCAGCCATGTTGTTTAACCGTATACCCTAACCCTTAAAGCTACATTTTACAAAGGGGTTGATACACGGATAGATTAATATTTCGGTAAAATCGTGGCTCACCATCAGGGATCGGGATTAACATAAATTCACGCAAAAAACCGAGCCTCGCATGTTCCATGTATCACGCGATATCAAGGTTTTTTATTAGTTTCCAGTATGCTCGTGAGCACACGAATCGCGCGATTCTTTCCCCTTTCCTCAAAAGCGTGTAATCTAATCCGAGGAAAAAATTAATAACTGTATCATTACAGAGGATGATGGTAATTCTCTGATGTCGAAACAATATCTCTTTTTCGGTTCAATTACTTGACGCTTTGAACAATTTGAAATTTAATTTAAATTTAATTAAGAATTTCAAGAAAATTCCTCATCGACCTAATAAATGCTCGACACACATGCTCAATTTTATCTCTAAACTTGCCTTTATTTCGCGGCAAAAAAAAAAAATTAACCATTTTTCGTGGAAAGAAAGTCAATAATTTTAAAGACTTCGGTCGACATTTGTCCTCGAAAGGTTAATATGAGGATAAATTGTTTTCTAATCGAAAATCTTTGAGATGAGATATTAAGTATTGTAATTACATAATTTTCATTTAGTTGTCGCGTTGACAAATAAGGAAAAATTTCTTATGATTTGATAAAAAAAATTGATAATTATTATTTTAAAGATAATTAATTGTAAAATAATATAATATGATATTAATTGAAAAAAATGAAATTTAAATAGAGAGTTGACTTATCCTTCAAATATCATATCAATATGTATTACATTTTGAATATTTTTTGCCTTTTTATAGATTTTTAAACGCGTAAAAATTCATAAATAATCATAGATGAATTTGGATAAGATTCGAATTATGTTAAAAATAGTTCATTGATAATCCTCGTGGTACAAATTATATAGAATACGAATAATATATCATGTAAAATACCTTCATACATGCCAATTCAACAAATTATTTTAAAAAATTCAGCAATCATAATTTTATTTTATATAGAAAATTGTAATATATACGAAATTATATATGAAGCAATTATTTATTAATGGAATATCACTTTAGGGAATGAAATTAATCCTTAAAGTTTCATTATTTTAAACAGTAAAATATCCAGCTTTTTCCTACTTATTATAAAAAATATTCCCAGTTGAAATTGAAATGGAAAATATGAAAAAATTTAATTTTTCACTCTCAAAGAGATTTTTGCTCGAAGAAAATAATTTTCTCTGTTATAATCCATTACGCCCTACATACACGCAAATTTTCATTAAAATCAGATTTTTCAAAAGCTTTTAACACGCTATACTTGTTACGCAAGCTTCGATTATTATATTAATTTAAACTGCCTCGCATCAAATCAAATAACCCAAACCCTAATCCCTATCCCCAATCTGTTTAGATTCCATTTACAATCCGATAATATCAACTGAAAGTTAAATTAACTAAACATTTTCTATCCCGAGACCCAAGTTAACCAATCACAAGCCAACATTTCAAGAAAACGCCGAGGGCGTATCTGAATGGGCAATGAGACCGTTCGCCTCTATCTGAAAACTTAACACAGCGGTTGGCAACCTCGATCGATCGACGTCCCGACATAACTTCCCATTACCTTTCACCCTCTTTGAGAGTACAGGAAGGAACAGAGGGCAGGATATAAAAATTTATCTCGTTTCAGAGGTGTGAAAAACGAAAGAAAGGAAGGAAGGAAGAAAAGGGGAATCCTATTTATCTCAATTTCTCCTCGCCCAACACGACAACGAGGAATCGACGAGTCGCTTCGGTTAAAAACGTGATGCTCGCTAAACGACGTAACTTTTATCGGCTAACATCTCGACTTTGCAAACTGAGTTGTTACAAGGAGGACAGTCGCGGCGGCTGATGGGTGGAAGAGGTTGGAAGAGGTTCGAAAGTCGTTTAAACTTCAACGAGGGTTTGGCGCCAGCACTTACACTCGAATTGCCCGGGCACAGCCGCGAGGAAAAATAAAGCGAGGGGTTCGGATACATTCATCGCATCGTCCTGACGTTTACACATTTTCGAGGGTGTGCAATTTGCAAACAGAGCGTAATCTTGGATAAACGTATGCGCAGACTGTAATGTTATTGATCTTTTCGGGAGGAATCTTGGTAAAATTTTGGCTAATTGGTTATTTAAGCGTTTTATTAGTTGTTATTCGAGATGTGAGAATGTGTGGGAAATTATATTATATGTTATTTACATTTAATTAGATTAATAATTAAGATTAATAATGATTAATAAAATCCGATTTGGATTATTGATCCTTTGAAATTAAAGATATTTTCTGTGTCTTATAGAATCATGAAAACAATCCTAATCCATCTGAACATTCAAGAAATTTATTATATAAAAAATTAATAATCTCTAAAATATTAATTAAAAAATTTCTTATTTCTGAATTATTTGATTAAAGATGAAATAGATAGGAATTATTGATTTGGATATTTGGATTTTTATATTATCAATCCTAATTCATATAAAAATTCAATAATTCTATCAAACAAATATGACCATCTTTGTATCTTATTTAATCAAAAATTAATAAAATGTAACTCCAAATCATTGATTTCTCAA